CCCCCCCAACCCCATGAAAATGTTTTTTTGCAGATCAATATATATATATATATTTTTCTCTGCGGATTCGGGGAGATCTCGACAAGCGCAGTCCAACCCCATCATAAAAAAAAATTAAAAAAAATCGACTCCATTTTGGGCCCAACCGGATTTCCAGTTGGACCACCGGGGTTCCAACCGGCCCGGTTGGGTCCGGTCCGGTCCAACCGGCCGATGCAGCCCTGTTACAGATGCAATTTTCCCTAAACCAAAACGCACCCTCATGCCCACAAGCCATCAATTCGGACGGTTCTCTTACCACCGCTGAGATGGCTCACACAGGGGCTTCAAAAAAAAAAAAAAAAAAAAAAAAAAAAAAAAAAAAAAAAAAAAAAAAAAAAAAAAAAAGGCAGAACTGGCAGAGGAGAGAGGTCAGATCACCCCTGAACTTTCTTTCCTGTTGCTTAAAAAAAAAAAAAAAAAGTATCCCGTTACTTTGACAGAGCCAGCCTATATCTATCCATTTGCCAAAAAAAATTGAAAAAATTGAAAAAATTGAAAACTTATCAAAAGCTCATTTGATTTTGATTTCCCGTACGAATACAAACTTTGAGAGCACCTCCACAACCTTTTGAGGGGAAAAAAAAAGAAGAAAAACTGTGAGAGCATGGCCTATCGATCCTTTAGGATTTCAGGATTTGAAGCTTGAGGTGTCAGAAAAGTCTGTCTTTTTTTTTTTTTTTTTTTTTTTTCCCAACACCCCATGCAGTGCTAGTGCTGCTGGAGATGTCAGAAAAGTCAATACCACAGACGACCAAAAAACAAGAAGGAAAAAAAAGGACAGGAACAGAAGCCGATAAACCCCTCCATACTCCCTCTCCTTTTCTCTCAAACTCCACCACCACACTTCTTCCCCTCCAGCCTTAGGGCCAGATCCCACTGGCAAGAATGATTGGAAAAGTGTCTGAATCTGGACGTGTTCCACGCAGAGATGCAGAAAAGCAGATCAATCACATTTTTCTGTACCCCACAAACACGTCCAGATTCAGACACTCATTCCAATCCTCTTTGCCAGTGGGATCTGGCCCTTAATCCCTCCCTAGACACTCCTTAGCAGTCCTAAGAAACATTTTGGACTACCGTCTTCACCCAAATAGAACGCCTGGTAATTATCGCCGTATCTGGGCTGAAAGTTGTGCCAAATACAGCTATAATGACCGGGCGTTCTAATCAGGTGAAGACGTCAGTCCTTAGAAAAATTTAGGATTTTCAGCATCCTGGTTAGACTATTCCCTGAAAAATCCGATTTTAGGACGATTCCTTCGAAAGATGTCGTTCACAATAAAGAGAAGGGACAATTTGCAAAATAATAAAATATCACCATAAGTTGAGATATATGACAAAATTAATAATTATGGCAAATTGCCCCTGAAAGATGTGAATAGAGCTGAATGCCCCTCTGAGTCTCTGACAAAAAATGAACTTCTGTGAAATACCCCTGGTGTCGGTTGGACGGAACTTGGACCCCCATCTTTGCAATATACCCCTACAGGGTACCGTCCAACTTTGCAAATTGCCCCAGTACTTGCCAACTTCTCCTAGGGGCTGTTGCAAAAGGCCAAGGCCCAAATGGGGAGGTCCAGATTGCAAAGTTGCACACCCGCCTGACAGGCGGGGGGGGGCACAACACAAAGATTTCGGCCACAACACAAAGATTTCGGCCCAAAAGGGCATTCCGCTCTACCCACATCTTTCAGGGGCATTTTGGCATAAATCTCAACTTATGGGGGTATTTTGCAAATTATCCCCAGAAAAAAATGCTGATTCGAATAGAATGCATATGCGTTATATTCGAATCTACCAGCTGTTCGAATAGAACGCACACGCTTTGTATTCCAATAGAAAGCAACCTATGCCTTGTATTCGTTTACAACACATGCGTTATGTTCGGGGGAAGACTGTAGTCCTTTGAGCGTTTTCACTGGACTCGGGTTTCAGGAATGGTCTGTTTTTTTTTTGTTTTTTGTTTTTTTTTTTGTTTTTTTTTTTTCAGGAATGGGCTAACGATGCTGAAATCCTAAAAATCGAGTGTCTCTAAGGGGTGTGTCTAATGAGGCCCTTAGGGCCAGATCCAACTGGCAAAGAGGATTGGAACAAGTGTCTGAATCAGGACGTGTTCCAGGAAGAGATGCAGAAAAAAAGCAGATCAATTACAGTTTTTGCGCCTCTCCACAAACACGTCCAGATTCAGACACTTATTCCAATCGTTTTTGCCAGGGGGATCTCGCCCTTAGCTTTGTCAGCATTACAGCAGATCACCCACCACACACCTCCCACCACAATCAGAGAGGTTACCCATACAAATTGAATGAACTCAGCTCAACAAAGAGCATACTCGCACTACGACTTTCTGGACTAGGATCTGGAAGTGATTGTGGTCAGGTACATCCAGGCCAAGGTGGAATCCAGTCAGATCCATGAAGAAACGTACTAGTGTGAGTATGCCCTAAGTGAGGTGAGAAAACGTTCTAACACCTAAAGGATGCCAATAAAATTTTGCGCATCCGAAATTTTCCACCAAGCCCGTGTGGGAATCTGGGCCCATTTTTCTGATCTGAGGGGAAAAGAGGGGGGGATAGGTAGTCCCATTGCTTCCTGTCTTTATGGAGGGGTTAAAAGTGAAAACCATCTTTTATCACCAAGGGGGTTTGCAAAATAGAGGTTTTGAGAACTTTTGACACAGTACATAACATAAGTTTTCTTGCGAAAAAAAACAAGTGTGTGTGTGTGTGTGTGTGTGTGTGTGTGTGTGTGTGTGTGTGTGTGTGTGTGTATGTGTGTGTGTGTTATAGATTTTCCCCACAACAGCCCCAATTCCACCCAGATGAATAGATTCAGAATCAAAGCAATCTTCGTGTGTGTGTGTGTGTGTGTGTGTGTGTGTGTGTGTGTGTGTGTGTGTGTGTGTGTGTGTGCGTGTGTGTGTGTGTGTGCGTGCGTGCGTGTGTGTAGGCACTGTAATAATGGGGAACGACAACGTACCAATTCTTGCTGCCTTTGGATTCTTTGCTCCCTCAAAGCAAGGATCCTGGCCTCATACCTGCCATGATATTGCAAAATCCATTCGATGAAATCAAGTTTCAAATATTTAATTTATTGATTTGTTTTCAAATTTGTTTTTCAAATTTCGCCTCTCCTTTTCCAAATTTCCACCAAAATAAGTTGATGAACACCCAGCGCTTGTGGCTGACTGGTACGCACATGTACCTCCCCACGAACAGATCATGAATTCAAATCCTGATGGAATCAGCTACATGCAACAAATGCATCAAAATTATCAAATAAATCAAACAATTATGAGTGGCTCAATCATAGTAACCGCCGGGACGTCCGGACCGGGTTCCAGACAGTCCGGTGTCCAGTCCCCATGTCTGGATGGAGGCCCCTGGGGCAAAAATCAAAAACAAAAAAGGGGCGGCCCAGGACGTTTGTCGGGTCCTAGCCACCCCTCGAAAAATAACGGGGTGATTTTTAAGTGTCCTTTCACCCCCACCGGACATGGCCTAGAGGTCCAGACACAAGACACTGCAGGTTTTTGAGGTGGCGGGTTTCACACAGGCCCGAGCAATTTCAAAGCGGCCGTTTCGACGTGGCGCCCGCCGCTGCTGCCCGTTTGGGGAAAAGAGAGAGAGAGAGAGAGAGAGAGAGAGAGAGAGAGAGAGA